ATACATAATGGGATCAAACTAGACCGCAAACAATATCACAACCGCAGTACCACTAAGAATATCGCAGCTTATTTCAACCTCTCTCTCTCTCTCTCACACACACACACGCCACCCAATCTGTGGGCATGCCCCCGCCTGTTTGCCCATATCCACCCTCTCTCTACACGTCTGTCACAGGCCCCTTTCGCTCGTGCATACTCACCCCCCTTTTCATTCCCGAATGATTCTCTCTCTCTCTCACTCTCTCTCTCTCTCTCTCTGTGTGACTCACAGAGCGCGAAGTGAGAAACTCGCCCACTTCCAATGCTCGTCCCGATCACTAGGTGTCTTGAGCCCAGGGACACGTTGTCAAAAGGACCTTGTTTGTGTTTGCCCCCCCCGGTCCTCTCTCTCTCCACCTTTATTTCATACGGAGCGACCTCTTCTTGTCCTAGCCCCATTGTTGCTTGTGCCCTTTCCCACTGCTCTTACGGGTTCATTCTATTAGTGATTCTGGCTCGAGATACATTGGATTTCTTCCCGATTTTTAGAAGCCATCTGACCTAGACGGTCAAGGAAAGGTCCACAAGAAGTGATTCAACGGAAACATAGTCTTCGACGCACTCCATTTGTTTCTTTAGTGTTTTTTCGGTTCACTCCCATAGTCTCTCCGCGATCCTATGACATATAACATCATGTTCATGACTACCAAGCCTGACATGTCTGTTACCCACAATACCTGCACAAGACACGTGGTTTTCTGCCCTACACATTTGGCAATCTTCGTGCGTATTTCGAGGGCCTGCTCTTTCAATGCCTCCACGAGATGCACAGGCGGTTTTCTGTGCCTTCATGCTTATTTCAGATCCTCAACGTTCAGGCCAATCTGTCAACAAACGGTCTAATATAAAGCAGAAGCATATTCTTACCGACTGAACTTTCCCTCGATCTTGTCGACAAGGAGCCAGAAGAAACGAGGGAAGCAAAAGAGAACCAAGCACACAACACACGAAAGAGCAGCAGCCACAGGAACAGCAGCAACCACCAACGCGACCACCGCCTTCGGTAGCAACCACCAACCCAATCACCGCCTTAACACCCCGCCGATGGAGTGTCAGGGAAGCGACTGATTCGGTGGTATAAGGAGGGTTGGGAGGGAAACATAACGATCACAAGAGCTTGAACACGACTACAGAATTACGGGCCACCATTCCTCTTTCAATTATTGCCGAAAGCGAAAATGCTCTTCGATTCTTTGACTACGACCAAGCAGAGCATTTTCCATTTGGCAATAATCCAAGAGAAATCGAAGTTGGCCCAAAACTTTAGTGACAATTAAAGAGAAATCTTCACAAATGATATCTCAACAAAGTGGGCAACACAAATGATACCTCAAAAAAGTGGGCAACATGGCATAATTTCCTGTCTATCGAGGTCAAACGCCGAGCAAGCATGTACAAGACAATAGAAGGTCTGAATTTCTTAAAATCAATCAAACTCTAAGAGCCCCCAACTTCACCGGTACAACCCAGAACCCCAACACTGCTACCGACTTGCGCCTTCACAGAGCATATTTTCGCACTAGGAAGAGTACACCGCCCTCGTCTTCCCCCTCCTAATCTTCCGCGCCGGCTGCAGGCCCCAAAACGACAAACATGAAAACAATCGCCGAGCATGCGTACATAAAAGAAGAAGATAGCTCTTAATCCTTCATTTAGTCAAAGTCTACATCCCCGATTCCACCAAGAAAACCAAAACTGGTATCGGCCTAGGCCTTCACGGCATATTTCCTCATCGGGAAGTACATCGCCCTCTTCTTCTCTCTCTCAGTCTTCAGCGCCAGCTGCAGGTACCAAAAAGACAAACACAAGCAACCAATCAACGACCATGTTCAGCTTCCAAGGATATCATTCACTCACTATCGTACAAGCGAGCAATTGTACATTTTTCAAAATCTTGCAAAGAAAAGACCTCGTACAAAAGATAACGTCACGCAGAAGCACTGCAATCCAATGATAAAAACGTGGGATAGAATCACAAGTACCATCCCGAAAGCTTCCGTCCTCATGAAGAAAACGTCTTTATTAAACCACAAGTACCTGCGAAAGTCGTGGCGGTTAAACAAGCGGCCACAGTGATGAACGAACGGGCCACTAGGGGAGCGACCAGATTCATCCGACTGCTCTTTTTTTCACCGCGGCCCATCCATGGGAAAGGTACTGGTGGCTTACAGGCATACTGGTGGCCAAGGATTGCGGAAAACGGACTCGCAATTTAATCTTGGAATCATAATATATTATGAATATAGATTACAAAACACAAACATCTCCGGAAAACGGACTGGCAACTTAATCTCGGAATCATACTATACAACGAATATAGATTACAAAAGACACATCGACGGCGTACCGCCAGCACGCCACATCTCCCTTACACTACTGTACCGGTTGAAGAATTACGCGGCCTTAACACAACCGTGATAGTGAAAAACAAGACAATCGACCACGATACTCCGCACTTCAGGTGACAATAAGGAGTTTCTCTTTTTAACCAAATAAAAAACCATTTTCAGCCGCATATTTTCCGTCGCCCATCAGTCCGATTGTTTATCACCGACAAGCACAAGACAGAACCGAGGTAGAGGGAGGAAAGGTATGGCCATCCCTCAACTTCGGAGGGTCGCGAGACAAGGGCGAAGTAGAGAGCGAGGAGAGAACTGGTCATCCCTCGACCTCGGAGGGTAGCGGGTGTGAGTGATCTTCCAACGCAACCCCGAGCTGGAAGAGTAGGGCGGTGAGTGCGCAGCAAGGCAGGAGGCCACTCGGTTACTGCACGTCTTCAGCCAGCTACACCACACGGTCATCCCTCAACTTCGGAGGGGCGCGAGACAAGGGCAAAGGAGAGAGCGAGGAGAGAACTGGTCATCCCTCGACCTTGGAGGGTAGCGGGTGTGAGTGATCTTCCAACGCAACCCCGAGCTGGAAGAGTAGAGCGGTGGGTGCGCAGCAAGGCAGGAGGCCACTCGGTTACTGCACATCTTCAGCCAGCTACACCACACGGTCATTATCGCTGAATCTGGACTAAAGTCGCCGCTAATACATCGATAATGACCAGGCATTCTATGCGAGTGAAGACGGTAGGCCTTGATTGATCGGCCTCCACACACAATTCCACACTGGCGTGCATTGTGAAGAGAATCAAGGCCATATTAATATGCCAGTGTTTCATCATCTCTTTAGTATAATTTACAAATTTCCACTATCGTATCAGTCATCCACTTTACAGCAACACAACCAGTCTGATATTCGAGGGCTACTGTCTACCTCAGAACACAACACACCCTACCTCACAACACAACACCCTCATTTCAACTGCATCGGACCGGAAACATACCTTGTATACGTTCATTTCAAGGGTGCGATATGTTCAGGGGAAGCCCGTAATAGCGCGCTTACACTGCCTCGATAGCAACCAGTCGGTATTCAAGGGTTAGTCTTTCTTCGAACACAAGCCACCCTCATTTTGACAGTATCTGGTCGGAAACACACTTTGTATACGTTCATTTCCAGACTGCGTTACGTTCGGACGAAGACGGTAGTAGCGCTTCCAGACTGTCTCGATACCGTACTTGTCACCACAGTTCCGTGTTGTACTGCGGCTCGCTATTAATTAACACCATGTAACCGAGTTTCTACAGTTCACAACTGTGCTCAAGTTCGGCAGATTTTTCATTATTCAGGCCCCTCAGCATTTGCTACCAAAGAAACTAACACAGCACAGCTTCTCGCACTGGTATGCCAAGCCGTAAGAAAAAACCCTAATCACGGAGCCCCTGATAGACTTCCATTATTGTGTACAAAAACAGGTCACCTCCACAACGCACATAGCACTGGGTAACCGCCGGGACAAGGGAAATGGAGAACGCTGCACTGAGGGTCTCCGCACTTTTGTTATTTTGTAAGAGGGAGAGCGCATTAGCTTCAATACACGTTCATTATCGCAGGAAGTTCTCGTTCGTGAACGGAACCAATCTTCTTAAGTCGCTCACAAACGCCTGTGCTCATGTGGGAGAGGGAAAGTGGAAGAGACCAGTGCGTGTCTGCCCGTTGCCATCTGTCTGCGCGTATGTGCCAGCGTTGCCGCGGCAACTCCCCTCGCACGAACGTGCAGACCCCTTTTCCCACGACTCGCCAAACGGACAGACGCTGGACACTACTATAACCGCATCTCTCTCTCTCTCTCCCCCTCCCCCCCCTCTATCTCTCTCTCTCTCTATCTCTCCCTCTCTCCCTCTACCTGTGTGTGACACGTGCCACTGATTCAGCCACTCTCTCTCTCTGGCACACGTGCCATAGATTCTGCCAGTCCTCTCTCTCTCTCTCTCTTTCTCTCTCTCTCGCGCCTGCCTCTGACCCTGAACCCGACGCCGAACCCAGCCGCAGACACTGAACAAATTCCAAAATA